GCTGGTAGGTTTGAACCGTGATCCTTCTGGTTAGCAGTCAAATGCCTTAGGCACTGTGCTACCAGAGCTCCTTTTATGATGCTTAAAACCAAAATTCAAACTCACTGCCATTGAGTTGATTCCAACTCACAGTGACCTCCACTGGATTTTGGAGGTGGTAAATCTTTATCGAAGTAGATTGCACAGTCTTCCTTCTGTGGAGTGGCTGGTGAGTCTGAACTGGCAATCTGCTAGTTATCAGTCAAATTTCTTAGGCATTAAGCCACCAGAGCTCCTTTTATGATGCTTAAGAGGTATGAATATCATCTTAAGGCAACACCTTTGGAAAATAATTACCTGGATCGAACATAAAGGATAAAAGACAACATGGTTTTCAAATTTAAATTTTATTAAAGTACAGAGTTAACAAGTTTTGCATATTCTACATAAGAAAAGACTAGTCAGCTTCAGACACTTTATAGAAAATTTAGCATTCTAAAAAAAAATATAAATCCATAGTTGGCTTTGTGACCAAGGTTGAAAAATAACTATTAAAAGTTATCAAAATCTTAACCACCTCAGAGACCACAGTAGTAGTAGACTTGCTACTCATACTACATCTTCAAATTCTAACACAACAAAACATAACCACATAATTGACTATAGGCTAACTGTTGTTGTTGTAATATGCCTTTGAGTTGGACCCAACTCATAGTGACCCCTCCTTGGGTTTCTGAGGCAGTATCACTACGGAAGTAGATTGCCCCATCTTCCTTCTGAGGAGTGGCTGGTGGGTTTGAACCACCAGCCTTCCGGTTAGCAGTCAAGTGCCTTAAGCACTATGCTACTGGTTTCAGAAAAAAAAAAATCAAATTAACACCTAAGTTGTAAGACTATAAAACTTTTGTAGACTTTATTTTTTGCAAAGTTTAAAAAAAAATCCACTTAAATCTTTAATAAAGAAAAACAAAACAATCTCTTAAATTTCTTATAAATACCACTGAAGACATATATTACACATCTGCTGTGAGCTTTCTATACCTGAGAGTATTTCCCAGGACCCTTTACCACAAAGGATTACCTTAAAGAGGTCTTTCGTCATCTTATTCACATAAATGTTTAAACTTCTATAGAAGTGTATTTGGACATATTCATTCTTGATCGGTTATTCTCCATCCTTTTCCAGTTAAGCTTTTTTCTGAAAAGATTTTACTCTTTTGGAAGGAAAAAAAAAAAGGCCAAATACTTCTTTGGTAAAAGTCAAATATTTTCCCCTTTCAAAATGACTGCCTCTGCAAATCTGATTTACTGAAAAGAAAAGAGATCTTTAGAATGGGTAGCAGTTGTTCTAAAGATCTGTATAAATAGCTTTCCACTCCTGTGAAGTAGAATGTCTAACATGAGACAGCCCATGTCCACCTGAAATGCAAAACTAAACGAAATGTTTAACAGATTTACAAATATAATGAAGATGGCAGTAAGCATGGTGGTCTTAAAAAGAAAGCCATTGGGAGTTATTTCACCTATTAGCATGTTAAAGAGACTATCCCACAGAGAATTTTATGAGCCAAGTAGCTACTGCATTGTCCCTGGACAGAGGGCTCAGTGTCCTTTCTGGGTGTGCAGGGTCTTAGCACAAGGTTAGTTCCTTCTTAGGCCTAGATTAAACCCTCTTTCATTTCCAAAAGATATGACACAAGTATACACCAAAATAAGATACTATTTAGAAAGGCAGCAAAGAAAAGGGGGAAAAAAATGCTCAGGAAGCTTCAAATACAGGCTCTGAGATTCCCTATGCAGGGTTATCAAGAAGCACCAATGGTAATAAACTTCTAGAAAAAATTAAATAAGCACATAATTTTAAAAAGGCAGAGGGTGGGTGAGGGGATTAACACTACATTCATAATGAAAGATGCTCTGAGGAACTGGAGATTAAAGGTGTGGTGTGGGAGCTCTCCTTTTGGCCATTCCTTATAGGAACCAAAACCCCAAAGCCCCAGTAGCCCCACACTCCAAATAACCCACATACACACAGTCTATCCCACAAAAGAGCTAGCACTACCTCTGCAGAACAATTCCTTCTAACCATTTCCCAAGAGATTGTGAGGTAAAAACAAAAACAAAAACTAAAAAAACCCCAACTAGCCAACTGGTATTACCAACAGTTATCCAGTAAGGGCAAAGTAAGGCTTATGAGAGAAATAGTATTCAATCAGATAACACGTATCGTACAACAACACTCCCATAAATATCCCTCCCCCAACATGATGTTTTACTATGACCACAAGAGGGAAAAACAGAAGAGTGGGTTACTACAATCTTTTCCACATCAGATTAATGGCACAGAGGAAACATACACATACAGCGTTTATGAATCTTCAGCTTTCATAGCTAAAGGTGTCTGACCCTCAGGTCTGGGAATGCACTTTCAGTCATATACGAAAAGTGGTAGGAAACAAAAGTCTATCTTTTAAAAAAAGTTATTAGTGAGTTAATCAAATTAGTACTATTACTATAAGAACTCAAAAGCACTGGCACAATTTTTCCAGTTCTTAAATCCTAATGCACAAAAACAGAGGTTCTTTCAACCCATGAATGCTGACTCATCACCTGAGTAATGTTTATTACAATTAACAATCCTGAAAGTTAACTTCTTACTGGTGTATTTACATGCCCTCGGCACTCCAGCACATCCATTAACTCTTTAGATTATTCAGATACAACTTTCTAACCTTCAGAAGGGAACTTTGTGCCACAAACCAAATCTTAAAGAGCTGGAAAACGTGGGTTTGCTGGACTGACCAATAAAGTTACAAAGGTCCTGTTACAGGCAATGTCTTTTCATTTGTGTTTTCCTGAGCTTTTCTGCTAGGAGAAGGGGGCCATCAAGGTCCAGGCAAGGAATACATGGCATTGTCACCTAATCATTGAATTGGTGCCAGTGCTGGTTCTAAAGGCAAAGCATCTTGCTGCCAGACCTAGTTGAGAGGGGAAACCAAGGACTCTCTTAGACCTTAGCAGGAGGAAAACATAGTGAAACTGGTTACTGTTACTACCCGACTTCTTGATCTGCACTTCTCATTGTGTTTCCTAAGCTTGCTCTAAGTCAGAGCTGACCCAGAGCTCCCGTGTTATTGCACGCATGACTGCAACGGCCCTCCCCAGGACGTGCGACACAAACCACCCAGCTTGCACTCCTGTGCCTGACCTAAAGGAGCCCCCCACCCACTGGCTTACTTAGGGTTTCTGAGGGCTGCATGAGGATATTCAGTTTGTGATTCCAGATCGATCTTTGAGAAGATGAGCACAAAGAGCTTCTGCTGTAAAAAAAATGAAAATTTAAAAAGTTTACAAAACAAGGCTTTCACACAGATTGAGTGCCTTTAAAAAATACTCTATATAAGGCAAGTTCTTGAAGGAATTCATCCACTGTATTTATCTCCCCTTGTCCTGTCCTACCCCCCTTGGGAGGGGGACAAGACTTTGAAGAATTTCCCATGCCAGCATTTTGGCACACTGGAGCCCAGCTTCAGTGCAACTCAATTCTGCCCAACTCATATAGTAGGGCTCAGAAAGAAGGTCCAGGCTGGGTCTTATTCTCAGTTTGCCTTTTGCAGGGAACTTGAGAGCATTCTTTCCATCCCTACATGAAATACTAACATAAGAGTCCCTACTATGACTCCATCCACGTCTTCAATGGACTTTCCATTGAGTGAAGCTCTTCCCTGACTTAGAAAGTCAGCACTGAAAATTGGACATCTTCTTGGGCAATAATCTCTCTTATGAACATTACTTCACAAGTATGTAATTTGGACATTTCTGTGGATGTTGTTCATGGCTTAATCAAATACTCACAGCCACGCCTACCCTCACATTTCCGTATAAATATATTTGGTCACTTCCACAGCTTGTACAACAGGACTTATTTCATCCTCTTTTTGAGGTGCTGTTGCCTGGGATCCTCACCTCAGGAATTCTACTACTAGGAAAACACAATGGGTGTTAAAAGCATGGTCACATTTCAGATCTGGAAAACAAAAGCCCTTTCCTTTTACAACTTCAAAGGCCTCAAGGTGGAGGGGAAACTAAGGGACTGACCTTAACAGCTGAAAGGGAGGTGCAGCAGGCTTCCGTCAAGAAGCTACTTTTCATTAAGGTCCTTAGAATATTATTATTATTATTAACAGCACTAACAAGGATTATAGCCTTCCAAAGAAAACATGAATATTGTTCTGAAAGACAACACAAATCAGTCATAATTATTGCAGTAACTCCGGATCAAGTAGTGTTAATACGGGGATAAGAGGGTTGCCCCAGGGTGTGATGGCAAATTGTGCTTTTTCACATTATAATGAAGATGCTAAGCCCAGAAAAGAGGAGGTCACCTCTGGGAAGGGCAAGGACTAAAGTGAAGTCTGTGATTCCCAGCATCACAACTTCAAAGGGGATCATTTGGAGGCCATGCGGAAACTGCACCACAGTGGATTATAAAAGCAATTGCTGCCTCCTATAAATATAAGGGAGCTATGAGCAGGAAGGCCTACCCACAGAGCCCAGTCTCCAGAAGCAGAGGTGCCTGAGAAGGGCCTGCATTGTATCAGGGACACGGAGGCTCAAGATTTTGGCATGTTTTCTATTCTAAGGAAGAAAAATGACAGGCCACACAACATAGACTTTTATCCCTGCAAAAAGATGTTCTACTCAAACTCTATTTTGGTACAAACATTCGCGAGAAAAATATTACCATAACTAAGAACCCAGTATCTGGGGCAAGACATACAAAATATATCACCCATGATAGTTTGGTTGTAATTCCTTTGGGTGAAATAAGTAGTTTCTTTTCCAATTTCATAATTAAAAAAGCTTATCAGAAGTTTTTTTTTTTCCTGAAAGCTTTTTCAGATTCACTTAAGCCAACCAGGGACTGTCAACTTTTCAGAGGACATCAGTTATTGTGTAAACACCTGGGGCACTTGTTCAAAGGACGCACGTCACTCTAGCCTGCAGGTGTGCCAAACCCAGGGTTTGCTCAGATCTTCACACATAGAACTGCCGAGAGGGACAGCAGAGGGGAGCGACCAGTGTCCACAGGTACAGCAGCACACACATCCAGCAGGAGGCCATCTTGACCCAGAAGATGGACCAGCTCTCATTGAAGAAGGTTTCAATGTTCGCACTTTCGTAACTGAGGAAACAAAAGACCCAGATGTGGTCAGAGCAGGAAAAGAGTAGTGGGTGGGGAGAAGGTCTCACCCACTAAGTGTCTCCCTGCTTCTGATTCTATCCTTTTTTTTAAAAACAGATTTAATGAGAGATAATTCACACGCCATATAATCCACCCACTTAAAGCGTACAATTCAATAGCTTTAAGTATGTTCACAGACTTGTAAAACCATCACAACAATCAATTTTAGAACACTTTCATCAATCCAAAAAGAAATCCTGCACCCCCTTTAGCCATAACCCTCCACTACCCCCTGAAAACCACTAATTTGTATCTTTATGAATTTGCATATTCAGGATGTTTAATAAAAATGGAATCGTACATTATATGGTCCTTTGTGATTGGCTTCTTTCACTTAGCATAATGTTTTTAAGGTTCCTACAGGAGCTCTGGTAGCATAGTGCCTAAGGCATTTGACTGTTAACCAGAAGGCTGGCGGTTCAAACCCACCAGCCACTCCTCGGAAGGAAGGTTGGGCAATCTACTTCCGTAGTGATACCGCCTCGGAAACCCAAGGAGGGGTCGCTATGGGTTGGGGCCGACTCGATGGCACATAACAACAACAACAACAACATGTTGCAGCGGGAGCCCTGGTAGCATAGTGCCTAAGGCACTTGACTGCTAACCAGAAGGCTGGCGGTTCAAATCCACCGACCACTCCTCGGGAGGAAGATGGGGTAATCTACGTCTGTAGTGATACTGCTTCAGAAACCCAAGGAGGGGTCGCTATGAGTTGGGGCCGACTCGATGGCACATAACAACAACAACAACATATGTTGCAGCAGGTAACAGTCCTTCATTCCGTTTTATTGCCAAATAATATTCCATTGTATGGCTAAGCCACACTTTGTTATCCATTCATCATTTGACAGACATTTGGGTTGTTTTCACTTTTTGGTTGTCAAGAATGATGCTATTGTGTACATGTAACATTGAAGGTAAAACAAGCTCTTAGATTAAAATAATAATAATAATAATAATAATAAAAGAATGATGCTGTTGTGAACATTCATGTACAAAGTTTGTGTGCATATGGTTTTCATTTCTCTGGAGTACACACCTAGGAGTGGAGTTGCTGGACTGTATTATAACTCATATTTAATCATCTGAAGAACTGCCAGGTGGTTTTCCAAAGTGGCTACACTATTTCACATTTCCACCAGCAGTATGTGGGGAGTCTGATTTCTCCACATGCTCACCAACACTTGTTATTGCCTATTTGATTACAGATCTCTCCAACCTGCCTTAAACTTCCCAAGCCCATTTCTTCCAGGAATTCCCTAGGCAAGTCAGCATCACTGGGAAGCATGGAAAGCACACAAGCCTCCCTCCCTCTCTCCTCTTTCAGGAGGATGCTCAGGAAAAATCTTCTCAGCAAGTCTTCCCATTTGAAACTGCCACCCCATCACCTCAAGCTCCATTAGGCACTCCTAATTTCCCTTCCCATTTTATTTTTCTTCTTAATACTCAAGAGCCCTGGTGGTGTAGTGGTTAAAAGGGCTTGGCTGCTAACCAAAAGACTACAGGTTTGAATAAACCAGCTGCTCCATGGGAGAAAGATGTGGCAGTTACCATCTGACTCACTGTATTTGGTTTTGATCACAATCTGTCTCTCCCATTAGAATGTAATCACTGCCACCTAGCATATAATAACCATTCAAATATTTGTTGAATCAATGAATAAACAAAAACTGCGGATTTGTACAAAATGAGTGAATCTCTATGTAACAAGTTGCTGTTGAGTAATTCCAACTCATGGTGACCCCATGTGTGTCAGGGTAAGACTGTGCACCACAGGCTTTTCAAAGGCTGATTGTTCAGAAGTGAATGGCCAGGCTTTTCTTTAGAGGTGCCTCTGGGTGGACCCAAATCTCCAGCTTTTCAGTTACTAGTCAAGTACTTAACCATTTGCATCAATCAGGGACTCCTGAATCTCTATATGTTGTTGTTGTTATGTGCAATCGAGTTGGACCCAACTCATAGTGATCCCTCCATGGGCTGCCGAGGTAGTATCACTATGGAAGTAGATTGCCCAACCTTGCTTCCAGGAGTGGCTGGTGGATTTGAACCACCAGTCTTCTGGTTAGCAGTCAAGTGTCTTAGGCATTATGCTACCAGAGCTCTTGAATCTCTGTACAGTGACAGAGAAAGTCAAATCCTTCATGTATTGTCAAGTTTAAAATATAACAACACCGCAAGGGAGAAAACATGTGTAGTCATATTTATGTCTTTTAAAATATAATTGGGAGCTCTGGTAGCATAGTGGCTAAGGCACTTGACTGCTAACCAGAAGGCTGGTGGTTCAAACCCACCAGCCACTCCTCAGAAGGAAGATGGGGCAATCTACTTCCGTAGTGATACTGCCTCGGAAACCCAAGGAGGGGTCGCTATGAGTCAGGTCTGACTCGACGGCACATAACGACAACAACAACATGTTTATAAATGCATACAAAAGAAGGGAAGGACATGCACTAACTATACTGCTAGCAGTGGTTATCTCTGAGTGGGCAGAAGTCAAAGGGGAATGTTACTTTTCATATCTCCACTTTTTTTTTTTTAAATAACACACGCCATACTTTTGTAATACAGAATATAAATAATATTTCCTCTTTTGTAAAGCAAATGACTACTTAGGAATTCTTAGAAATGTGCCATCACCAAGTGTTTCCTCCACTGCTACTACTGTACGCTTTAAAATTGCCCTTAAAGGAGTTTGCCTTCTATTTTGTTAGAGTTACAGTATGTCTCACCAATTTCCAGAGTTTAAAAACCATGCTGATGAACTGTTAGTAACTCTAAACTGTTTCTAGAAAGGTTTTGAGTACAGCTCAACTAACTCACTGCTGTTGATTCAGTCCAACTCATAGTGACCCCTCCTCAAGTTTCCCAAGCAGTATCTCTACTGAAGTAGACTGCCTACTTTGTTGTTAGGTATCATTGAGTTGAAACCGAATCATAATAGCGACCCTGTGTAAAACAACAAAACACTGCCCAATCCTATGCCATCTTCAATGGCTCTTGAATCTTCAATGGCTATGTTTGAGCCCAATGTTGCACCCATGATGTCAATCCATCTCATTGAGGATCTTCCTCTTTTTTGCTGGCTTTCTACTTTACCAAGCTTGATGTTCTTTTCCAGGGACTGCTCCTCCTGATCACACGTCCAAAGTACATGAGATGGAGTCTCACCATCATCACTTCTAAGGAGCATTCTGGCTATACATCTTCCAAGACAGATTTGTTCATTCTTCTGGCAGTCTATGGTATATTCAGTCTTCTTCAGCAATACCATAATTCAAATTCATCAATTCTTCTTCAGTTTTCCTTATTGTTTAGCATTCACATGTATATTAGGTGATTAAAAATACCATGACTTGGGTAAAACTCCCCTTAGTCCTTAAAGTGACATCTGTGCTTTTTTTTTCAGAAAAAAAAAAAAGACACTTTAAAGAGATCTTTTGCAGCAGATCTGCCCAAATGTCATCTGATTTCTTAACTGCTGCTTCCATTAGTGCTGACTGTGGACCTAAGAAAATGAAATCCTTGACAACTTCAATCTTTTTTCCATTTATCATAATGTTGGCTATAGGTCCAGTTGTGAGGATTTTTGTTTTATGTTGAGGTATAATCCACACTGAAGACTGTAGTCTTTGATCTGCATCAGTAAGTGCTTCAAGACCCCTTCACTTTCAGCAAGCAAAGTTGTGTCATCTGCGTATAGCAGATTGTTAATGAGTCTTCCACCGAACCTGATGCTATGTTCTTCTTCACATAGTTCAGCTTCTGGGATTATTTGCTCATTATACACATTGAAAAGGTATGTGGTGTTGTTGTTATGTGCTGTCGAGTCGGCCCCGACTCATAGCGACCCCTCCTTGGGTTTCCGAGGCAGTATCACTACGGAAGTAGGACTGCCCAACCTTCCTTCTGAGGAGTGGCAGTGAAAAGATACAACACTTATACACACCATTTCCAATTTTAAACCATGCAACGGTATCCCCTTTAATTCTGTTCGAATGACTGCTTCTTGATCTACATACAGGTTTCTCATGAGCACAATTAAGTGTTCTGGAATTACCATTCTTATCAATGTTATTCATAATTTATTATGATCTAAACATTTGAATGCTTTTGCATAGTTAATAAAAAAATACAGATAAATATCTTTCTGGTCTTCTCTGCTTTTAACCAAGATCCATCGGACATCAGTAATCTACTAACTGGAGATCTACTTCTGAAAAAAACTAACTAGTGAAAACCTTAAGGATAGCAGGGGAACACTATCTGGTATAGTGTGGAAGAGTTTCGTTTACTCTGGGAGATTTCATTTGTGTCTCAGTACCTTAAAGAACAGTAATTAACTGGATATGTTTTCTCATTTATTTTGTTTAGACTTTTCTAAAATGTCTAAGGAAACAAGCCACGTACTTGAACCAGTTGGTCACAGTCATCATCACATAAAGGGTTGCCAAAAAGAACACGAAGTGGAAATAGGGGTAGCTATAGACAGTGCCTTTCTTCTCGTCATAAATGATCCATGGTCCTTCTTTCACATTCTGCTGCTCTTCAGCATCTGTGGGTCACATAGGGAAGCACAGGCTCAATGTGAACACATACATACACTTGTTACTTCTGCAAAATCACACTCATTAATTTCAATCCCAGGAGATGCTGAGTAGAAAAGATGTCAAAAATCATTCGTATCCTCAACAACTTTTATCTTTGCTATGAACACAAGACCTCTACCCACCCCAGTACCTTCCTAAATATGACAAGTTACCTAACACCATATTTATTTTAACAGATCAGAGCAAAGAGAGCCTTTAAAAACATATAAAATTTATTAAAAAAAAAAAAAAAAAACCACCAAACCCACTGCCCTAGAGTCAATTCCAACTCATAATGACTCCCATTGGGTTACCAAGGCAATAAATCTTTATGGAAGTAAATTGTCCCATCTTCCTTTTACTGAATGGTCTGAACCACTAACCTTCTGGTTAGCAGTCAAATGCCTTAGGCACTGCAGCACCAGAGTGCCTATAAAACTTATTAGAAACTTAAAAGAAACGGAGAGTAGCCTGAAAAGTTCCCAATCCCCTGGGATTCTCCAATTCAAGGAGAAAAGTAAGCAGAAGGAAGGAATCAGTCAAACTGAACAGAATTGAGAACCCAGAAGTAAATATTCCCCTAGGGCAGCTGATCTTTGACAAAGGGCTGAACCCCATTAAATGAGGAAGAGATAGACTCTGTAACAAATGGTGCTGCTAAAACTGGATAATCATTCACACAAAAATGAATCAGGATCCTTATCTCATACCATAGAAAAAATTAACTCAAGATGGATCAAACACATAAATGTAAAACATAAAACATTAAACATAATCAGAGAAAAAATAGGGGCAAATTTAGGAGCTTAATACACGGCAAAAATATACCACCAAATATAACTAAAAACAACAAACAGCAGAAGACGAACTAGATGACTGTGACCTCATAAGAATTAAACATTTATGTGCATCAAAAGATTTAAAAAAAAAAAAGAGAGAGAGAGAGAGAGAATGTACAGACTGGGGAAAAAATTTGGCAACAATACATCAGACAAGTGACTAATCTCTAAAATTTATAGAAAACTTCAATACTTTAGCAAAAAAGAGACAAGTAATCCAATTAAAATATGGATGGAAGATATGAATAGATACTTCAAAGAAGTTAGTCAGCTGGTTAACAAACACATGAAATGGTCACAATAATTAGCCATTAGGGAGATGCACATCAAAATAACAATAAGATATCATCTCACCCCAGCATCAATAGCATAGTTAAAAATACTATGTATATATGTACAGAAAACAACAAATGCTGACAAAAGTGTGGCAAGACTGGAACCCTGCTGGTGGGACTATAAAATGGGACAACCACTATGAAAAGCAGTATGGCGTTTTCCTAAGAAGTTGGAAATAGAAATACCATATGATCCGGCAATCCTACTACTAGATATATATCCCAGAGAAATAAAGCCATGACATGAATAGATACATGCACACCCATGCTCATTGCAGCATTATTCACAATAGCAACAAGATGGAAACCACTTAAGTCCCTATCAATTTATGAGTGGATTAACAAACAATGGTACATACACACAAGAGACACCATGCAACATTAAAGAATAACAATGAATCTGCAAAACACCTCATGACATGGATGAACCCAGAAAAAACTATATAGAGTGAAATTAGTCAATCACGAAAGGGCAATTATTGTATAGCACCACTACTGTAAAAAGTCAAGAAAAGGTTTACTCACAGAGAGAATCATTCTTTGAAGATTACCAGGGGTGAGAGGGGAAGGGAAGATTAAACACCAACTAGATATGCATTAACCTGGGTGATGGGAAGGCAATATACAGTAAAGGAGAAAATGAGCATAAAATGATCAAGATAGTGTAAGTCACAATGAGGAGCAGAAGAGTTAAAGGCAAAAAAAGGTGAATACCATTACATACACAATCCTGCAATAACAGTAATAACAATAATCTATGAGTAGATACATGCACAGCCATTCAATCCAAATGAGGTGGGAAGGCGAATGGGACTATACCCATGAATATATACAGGTTTGAGAGAAAATATTTCTACCTAGGCATAGTGCCTAAGGCACTTGACTGCTAACCAGAAGGCTGATGGTTTAAACCCACCAGCCACTCCTCAGAAGGAAGGTTGGGCATTCTACTTTCATAATGATACTGCCTCAGAAACCCAAGGAGGGGTCGCTATGAGTCCGGTCTGACTTGACAGCACATAAAAACAACAATAACAATGTATTTATATATGCTGCAAATGTATCCAGGAACATAGAAAGAGCATACAGGGGGCAAAGTTATGAAAACTTTTGGGTCATAACCAAACACCTTGAGGGAATGAGTTGCTGGGCATGGAGGATCAAGATCATAGTCTTGGGGAACACTAAGGTCAACTGGCATAATATAACCCACAAAAACAATGTTCCACATCCTACTGCGGTGAGTAGGCACTGGGGTCTTAAAAGCTTGTGAGCAGAGGAGTTCCCGTAAGATGGTGGAATAGGCAGAAGGAATGCACAGACCCTCTTCAACAAAGAAAAGGGGAACCAATTAACACAGATACGGATGATAATCCTGGACCCCTAAGCCTTGAAGGGAAAGATATAGAAATGGATTAAACTCCAACTAGCAGAAGAATTTGCATGAAAATAGCAATAAAAGAGACATACGGAGCTGCAGTCTGGCAGCAATCCTGATGGCACAGACAGCTTGGATATTGCTGAGTGGTGGTAGGGCCGAAAAATTAACCTAAAATACAGCCCTGCTACTAGGGACTGTACAGAGGACTGCTCTGGTGGCTGGTGAATAAAAGGGGAAGCAGCGAAGAGGACAGTGGGCAGAGCTGTGGCCTTCTGCCGGTCTGGAGGATGCAGCCATTTTGAACGTTTACAAGCGGCTTGACCATTTTGGATATTTAAAGCGACAATGTTCTCCCAGATTCCAGGGACTTAAAAACAGGCTCCACTTGCTAGGAATTGCAGAGCCATCCTGGACATACGGACTACTGAAAAGGTGCGACATTCCCTGTTACTCTTATATCTCACATCCTCTTGGTGAACGGAGGTGTAGCAATCCCTCACACCCACCCACTTTCTAGGACTGCAAGAATTCCATCCCAGTCTGTGCTCTAACAGAGCCTGGGCACCCTACCCTGCCCTGTCCAGATTTATTTATTTATTTTTTTTAAAGTTTGCTTGTTTCTGTTTTAAAACTACTACTATTATTACTATTTTTGTCCTTTTTATTGTCATTCTTTATACTTTCCTTCACAGGCTCTAGTTTTCAGCTTTTTTTTCTCTTTCTTGTTCCTGGTTCCAATTTTTTTTTTTCTTTCATGTGGGTAACCCCATTTCATGTTTTGCTTTTAGCATTTTTTCCACTTTTTTCTTCATTATTCTCCTTCTCTACTTTTTATCTCTTATTGCCCTCTCCCCAGATACTGTGGTGTTTTTTCTTTTGTTTTATTCTTGTTTTTTTTCCCTTTTATCTTTTTCGGTTACTGTTCCTGTGGGATTACACAGTGTGTTTTATGTCCATTTGCTTTTACTTTTTTTTTTTTGATGGTTATTCAATTGTTATTTTTATCTGAGTGAGAAAAAGTAATAGTCCCCATAAGACACAACTATACCCACAGCTCCTGCAGCTTCACTTACTGAGTGAGAGTCACCACCTCCTTCTCCACCAACAGACCTACAATCAACAACCATCAAGAAGAGCCTGACTCACCCTTAGCTGCTCTTCACAAACAGTTGACGGAGCTCTAAATACAACAACATCAAAATGTCTCCAAGACAACAGATCATCACAGTCCACACAAAGAAGCAAGATAAAGCAGGAAAAACAAGGGACCAAGATACAGACCCAGGACACATCCCTGAGGAAGAAACAGCACTGGAACTGCCTGACAAGGAATTCCAAAGAATTATATTTAGATATCTCCAAAGGATTAAGAGACAGATCAAGGAAAACAAAGACAAATCCCTGGAAGAATTTTGGAAGAAAATACAAGAACAAATGACAAAATAAATCAAAAATTATAAATGATTCTAAATCTACAGATAGAAATCCAGAAGATTAATGCTAAATTTTCAGAAATAGATAACACATTAAAAGGGAAAAGGAGTAGAACTGATGCAATGGAAGACAGAATTAATGAGACTGAAGACAAATACCAGAATACTTCTATGGAAAGGGATCAATCAGAAAAAAGATGAAAACAAAATGAAGAAAGCCTAAGGATCATGTGGGATACCATCAAACAGAATAACATATGTGTCACTGAAATTTCAGAACAGGAAAAGAAAAATAAAACCACTGAGAAAATTGTTCAAGATTTGTTGAAAGAGAACTTCTCTGATATGATGAAAGATGAGAATATATCCATTCAGGAAGTCCAACGAACCCCAACCAGGATAGATCCTAAAAGAAAATCACCGCACACCCATGTTCATCGCAGCACTATTTACAACAGCCAAAAGATGGAAACAACTTAGGTGTCCATCAGCTGAGGAATGGATAACCAAACTATGGTACATGCACACAATGGAATACTATGCAATACTAAAGAATAATGTAGAATCTGCAAAACACTGCATAACATGGATGAACTTTGAGGACATTATGCTGAGTGAAGTAAGTCAATCACAAAAGGATAAATATTGTATTAGTCCGTTATTGTAAAAGTTAAGGAAAGGTTTATCTATAGAAGGAAATTTTCTTTGTTGGTTACCGGGGAGGAGGGGAGGGGAGGGAACGCTGTTACACAGATAGAGATAAGTACTGATTTGGGTGAAGAGAAGGGCAATGTACCAAATGCGAGTGACCAATATGGCAGCATCGAGGATGAGAAACACATAGAGAGGTACATGGGAGGTACAGACAACAAATATGAACTCTTTTGCACACACAGTACTGCGCTGTCAGTGAAGGCAAACATGGGTATATGGGTGGACAGATGGGTGGACAGGCTGAAAGATTAGGTATGTCTATGA